TAAATATGCCAAGTCAATCTAATCTTTCTTCATAACTAAAATCCTTCATAGCTAGCAACATCATCGTAAATCTTCTCTTGTTAGTGTAACTACATTCATCCTGTTATGTGTGAAGAAAAATTATGCTCAGTACTTTGGTATAAGCGCGGAAAGTGCTGGAGAAACAGTAAAGAGGCATACTGGACTTGAATCATCAATTCTGTTTCTGGCTCAACAGATGCCGCCAAACTTGCTGAGTTTCTCCAGCACTTGCTGTTTTAATCTCAGATCTCCACCATCTGCTAAGCTTTCTAGTGTTTCATACAGTTCCAGCATTACATCTTTGCACTTATATCTGATGCCTTAGGTAATAAATGAAAGTATACATTTCCATAAGAACATAAGAACTAGGAGCAGGAGTAGGCTATCTGGCCCCACGAGCCTGCCCCACCATTTAATAAGATCATGGTTGATCTTTGAGACTCAGCTCCACTTACCCGCCCACTCACCGTAACCCTTAATTCCTTTACCTTTCAAAAATTTATCTAGCCTTGCCTTAAAAACATTCAGTGAGGTAGCTTCAACCGCTTCACTGGGCAGGGAATTCCACAGATTCACAACCCTTTGGGTGAAGAAGTTCCTCCTGACCTCAGTCCTACATCTGCTTCCCTTTATTTTGATGCTATGCCCCCTAGTCCTAGTTTCACCTGCTAGTGGAAACAACCTCCCTGCCTCCACCTTATCTATTCCCTTCATAATCTTATATGTTGTTATAAGATCTCCCCTCATTCTTCTGAATTCCAATGAGTATAATCCCAGCCTAATCAGTCTCTCCACATAATCCAACCCTCTCAACTCTGGAATCAACCAAGTGAATCTCCTCTGCACCCCCTCCAGTGCTAGTATATCCCTTCTTAAGTAAGGAAACCAAAACTGCACACAGCACTCCAGGTGTGGCCTCACCAGGACCCTATACAGCTGCAGCATAGCCTCCCTGTTTTTAAACTCCATCCCTCGAGCAATGGCAGACAAAATTCCATTTGTCTTTTTAATTACCTGCTGCACTGCAATCCCACCTTCAGCGACTCATGCACAAGGACACCCAAGTCCCTTTGCACAGCAGCATGCTGCAATTTTTTACCATTTAAAACATAATCCATTTTGCTGTTATTCCTACCAAAATGGATGACCTCACACTTATCAACATTGTACTCCATCTGCCAGACCTTTGCCCACTCACTTAGACTATCTATATCCCTCTGCAGACTTTCAGTGTCTTCTGCACACTTTGCTCTACCACTCACCTTAGTGTCATCTGCAAATTTTGACACACCACACTTAGCCCCCAGCTCCAAATCATCTATGTAAATTGTAAACAGTTGAGGTCCCAACACTGATCCCTGAGGCACACCACTAGCCACTGACCGCCAACCAGAAAAACACCCATTTACCCCTACTGTTTGCTTTCTACTAGTCAACCAATCCTCTATCCATGCCAATACATTACCTGTAATACCGTGCAACTTTATCTTACGTAGCAGCCTTTGGTGCGGCACTTTGTCAAATGCCTTCTGGAAGTCCAGATACACCACATCCACAGGTTCCCCATTGTCCACCATGCAAGTAATGTCCTCAAAGAATTCCACCAAATTAGTTAAACATGACCTACCCTTCATGAACCCATGCTGGGGTTCCCAATGGGAGAATTTATATACAGATGTCTTGCTATTTCTTCCTTAATGATAGATTCAAGCATTTTCCCCACTAACAAAGTTAAGCTAACTGGCCTATAGTTACCAACCTTTTGTCTACTTCCTTTTTTAAACAGTGGCGTCACATTGGCTATTTTCCAATCTGCGGGAACCACCCCAGAGTCCAGTGAATTTTAGTACATAATTACTAGTGCATTTGCTATTTCCCCCATCACCTCTTTTAGTACCCTGAGATGTATTTCACCAGGGCCAGGAGACTTGTCTACCTTTAGCCCCAATAGCTTGCCCAGCACTGCCTCCTTAGTGATAATGATAGTTTCTAGGTCCTCACCTGCTATAACCTTCTTGCCATCAGTTTTTGGCATGTTATTTGTGTCTTCCACTGTGAAGACCGACATAAAATAACTGTTTAATGCCTCGGCTATTTCCTCATTCCCAGTTATTAAATTGGCCTCTCATCCTCTAAAGGACCAATGTTTACCTTCGCCACTCTTTTACGATTTACATATTTATAGAAACTTTTGCTGCCTGTTTTTATATTTTGAAATAGTTTACTTTTTCTTTATAACTTTTTTTGCGGCTTTCTGTTGGCCTTTAAAGATTTCCCAGTCTACCAGTTTCCCACTAATCTTTGCTTTTTTGTATTTTTTTTTTAATCTGATACTTTCCTTTATTTCCTTAGACATCCATGGCTGACTATTTCTTTTCCTACAGTTCTTCCTTATCACTGGAATATACTTCTGATAAGCACTGTGAAAAATCGTTTTGAAAGTCCTCCACTGTTCCTCAATTGACCCACCATAAAGTTTTTGTTCTCATTTTACCTTACCTAACTCCTCCCTCATCCCATCGTAGTCTCTTTTGTTTAAGCACAGGACATTGGTACTGGATTTAACATTCTCACGCTCCATCTGTATTTTAAATTCGACCATACTGTGATCGTTCCTTCCGAGAGGATCCCTAACTGTAAGATCATTAATTATTCCTGTCTCATTACACAGGACTAGATCTAGGATAGCTTGCTCCCTCGTAAGTTCCATTACATATTGTTCAAGGAAATTATTGCGGATGCATTCTATGAACCCCTCCATGACTGACCTATTTTGAGCAATCGATATGTAGATTAAAATCCCCCATGATAATTGCTGTATCATTTTTACATGCATTAGCTATTTCTATGTTTATTGCCCGCCCCAACACGATGTCATTTTTTGGTGGCCTATAGACCACACTTATCAGTGACTTCTTCTCCCTGCTATTCCTAATTTCCACGCAAATGGATTCAACCTTTTGTTCTGTAGAACCTATATCATCTTTCACTACCGCCCTGATATCATCCTTAAAAATCAGAGCGACACCACCTCCCTTACCTTCCTGTCTGTCCTTCTGAATAGTTTCATACCCCTGGATATTTAATTCCCAGTCATGACCATCCTGCAACCATGTCTCTGTAATGGCCACTAAATCATACCCATTTGCCATGATTTGCGCTGTCAACTTATCCACCTTGTTTCAAATGCGCTGAGCATTCAGATAAAGTGCCCTTATGCCAGTTTTTGCACATTCTTTTTGGGTCCTATCACCTCCATTACTAACAGCTCTTGAGTTCTCCTTCCCTTTAACTTTTCTCCTAATTTTCAATGGAGTTGAAGCTTCCTCGTCACCTGCTAACCTGCTGCTTTGCCTTACATTAATTGTTATACTCTCTGTACGCTCACTCCTCCCTTCCATAATCCCATATCTCCACTAAAGACCATTTTACAGAGGGAATGTGACCCAGGCTTAAAGCTAGAACATTCTAATTTTTTTTAACTACCACTTCATGGAAATACAGCTTTCTGCCTTGGGATTGCAAAATTACCCGTAAAATTTCATCGGACTTTAGTTTGGCTCCTTAAAAACCAGTCAACTCTGTTCTATTAAGGATATTCTGGATCACTTGACAAGACTCATAGTTCAGTACTGTTTTTCTTGTTTACTTTTCAATTCTTCACCCTATTCAGAAAGGATAAAACTAAATGATTGTAAGCAAATCGATCTCAAAATGAGACATTCCTCAAAATTTCTACTTAGTGTCAATACTCGCCGCAAGCTCAGGTTTACTCAGTTTTCATTGAGTTGAATCAACGTGGTTAAATGGTTACAATTAGACAAGATTTTTAACTCCAGATTTTTATTGAATTCAAAGTGCCACTGTGAGATTTGAACCCATAAATTTTACAAATTTGGACTTCACAGAAATCCAAATTCAAATTCCTGCCTGATATGCATTCCCATTTCATGCAAATTCTAAAATATACGCCCCCGTACTTTCCATAACAGTTAGAATCAGCTTATTTGTGATTACTACTGCTTCTTACTTGTCAAATTACTCACTCTATCATTTCACCCCTGAAAGTTTGTGTTGAAATAGTCTCTTGCTACCTTAGCTGTGCTGTAGGTGAGGGTTTAAGCGATGATGTCTCACAGTGTGGATTTTCATGTTTACCACTAGCCCAGATATTAGAAAATGGAGACTACTGGGGAATATTTATGTATTCATTCTGATAGCATATGTCCACAAAACTATTATTTAAAAGAAAGTAAATATATAATCCCTTCAGTCATGAATGGGGTGTTATTTCTTTACAAATATTTGCATGTAACTGGGTTATGGACTTACAAAGTTTGTTTGTAATGTGTCCAACACCCAAGACCAGCTCTTGTTGGTTTCTCTTTGGCCTCTGACTAAGCTGTAAAACATGCATCTTTAGATCAATGGATTTCTAGATAGGACCTTAACGTGTTGCCTAAATGGTTTTAAGCAGAAACCAATTTGAATTCTTTTTTAAGATATACAGTGTATATTTTCAGGAGTGAACCATTATTAATGATAAAGCTCTTGTATAGTTCCCTAATGCCTAGGTCATGTTAATTAGTTTGAGCTACTCAAGCAAAGCCTAAAAAAGTAACTTTATACCAATATCCCTATTTGTGAATGAATTTGGTTCCCACAATTGGGGAAAAAAGAATGAGCAATATGAATGAAATAGGTGAAATATGAGGCAAGGGGATAAATCATAGCAAAATACAAATTATTCCAAATTTTCCCCCACTAGATCACCTTTTTTATCTGAAATAAAAAATGTATTTTGTGACACCTGCATAAAATAAATAATCAAAGTATTAGAATTATAGAGCTAACTCTTTGAAATGGTTGGGATGTTATTGTAATTTAACTAGCAGCATGGTAGTCGAACAGTTTTAAAAGAATTTCAAAAGTGCAACATTTTAAGCAACTTTAGTAAATTCACATTGGATCCTACTAACCTTAGCAAGGTCCACCAAAGTATTTGCCTGATCATTTAATTTTCTTTGTTCCATTTTTACACTTCGTAACCTGGGTGCAACATTCAGTTTAGTTGGTCAGTTTCATTTCATCTTTCAATGTTATCTTCAAAAAAGAACATGCAGTAAAATTCACCAGAGCAAACAACCTTCATGAAAAATGATTTTCTTACTTTTAACAGGTCAAAACCACTCATTTGTCTGCTAAATGAGAAGCATGCTTCCTCAACATGGAAAAAAGAACATTGGTAGCAGAGAAAAATGTATGCATTATATTATATTAGCTACAGTCAAAGATGAAATAAAATAACAATAAAAACAACTTTACAAATGTTATACCAAAGCTTAGGCATTTGTTAAAAGCCTAAGTATCATGACCAAAAGACATAGGATGGAAGAAGATCGATCTCAGACTATCCCCAAACCTCTGTAGGTTTTCCATCAGAGCCCAGCGCCCATTTCTTGAGACAGCACTTTTTACCGAAATTTAACTGTAATCACAGGGATATCCAGACCATTGTTTGTTATAACATAGAATATTCTTAGGAGGATATATGTACACATAGTATAAGTTTGGATTAATAATATTTTTACAATGTACTTAAGAAGCTGAAGAACTGCTGTACAAAGAAAAGAAAAGATTTCCCACTTTAAACCATGCATTCTGAACTCAGCCCATTGACACATGAACAACTACTTCACTAAGTCTACTTAACTCAGATTCAGATGATGCCTGTTATGTAATTCTAAAACAATTAGTTACATTACCGTATTTTCCCTCTAGACACTGGAAATGAGTTGTCAATCAGAACTCTGAAAACTGGGTTGGCAATACCCAGACTCACTTCAGTTAGGAGTCCTAACAGTTGCTTGTATTTAATAGTTAATTAAATTAAAGTATGTTCCCAAGGCTAACGTTTCCCTTACTACCTTAAAGTTTGATGATTAAATTCACTGCCTCAAAATCAGGAATCTACACCTTGAAACTCTATGCCAAAGTTTTGTTGCTTCCTTCCATTTAAATGGTGTCACTAAATGACTAGGTGGAATACGAGGCTTAATGTTTGACATTACCAATGGAAATCAGGGAATAGAACAAATACATGTAAAATTTTTAAAATTGCATAGCCCTGATTGAAAATCCTTTAAATCAATAATTTTACTTCCATTAGTTGTTTGAATTCTTAATAAAAGTTTATTGAGTTAAATTTTTCCTCAGAACACAGTGACTTAATTCAGCTGTTGGTCAAATTGAATCCAGACCCAATAATGGTTTTAAATATTTCTAATTCTTCTCTTTGAGGACCCCTTGACATGGGCATATGAAATATTCCTATGTCTGTGTGGCCTGATACTAGTCCTGTAAAAGTCTGAAATGGATTTGATTAAGGGAAACTTGTATCCAATGTTACTCAGTGATAAGTGAAATTCCTATTAAAAAGGAAATATTTTAAACATCTTGCAGCTAAAGAGAGACATAACTTTTCAAAATTATTTTTCATCAATCTGTTCAAACATGTTATGATACATCTCTGGGTAGGTGGGACTTTGACCCAGACCATGAGAGCAGTCTTATTGACACCTTCATTGTGCCACAAACGCCCTCAATAATGATTCAGAACAGCAACATTTTAAATTAATTATGTGCAACACACACATCAGTCTGCTTCTAAACATTTATAAAAGGATTAATGTGATCCAATACAATTTATAATATTAGATTTGCCAATGCAGGAAATTGCTGAACACATTTCTTCATATCTATATTTTCAAACAGTGCTTATTAAGTATTGTATTGTTTTGGGACGCAAGGTGTTGAACCATCTTTAACACGAATTCTATACATCAAGTCAGTAACTGTGGGAAATTAGATTACAGTAAATTATTTTAGCTTGGAAGTAAGTTATAAACTTATGTCTGAAATTTTATAATTATTTCAATCAATGGGCTCTGATAATTGTTTGCGAAGTTATATTTTCTTATATGTTTTTGAGTGTCATACCACACTTTTGACAAGAAATTTAATTCATCTTAGAGGCAAGAATCAATCAAGTCATAAGCCCTTTACCCTGAAGAATTAGGGGTTTGGTATTTAGGCTTTGACGGGACCGGGATCAGAGCTGAATGGGAGATAACAATAGTGCTGTTGGCCAGTGTGCTTGTTCCCTGGTTCCATCCCATTCCTAAATCATTGGTGATGAGGCAGGAATGAGGAAGTTGCATAGCTACTTTTCTGTACTTATAAGGTAGATAATTGAAGTTGTTAAGAGTTGCTTAGGGCCAATTAAACGGAGCAAATAGGATTTTCCAGTTGACCTCCTGGTCCCCACAGGTGGGAGCCAAGGGGCTGTCCCTGCCTGTCTGAGTGCTTTAGGCTCTCACATAGAAGGGCTCCCCTCACTCGCGTTTACTTCACCCCAATCTCAATCATGATCATGATGCAAAAGCTATGTTGTTATTTTAAAGAAAACGTTGGAGATTGGGTGCCTGCATTTTCAAGCATTCTTCTTCTTATTAGCTTCCAGACTTCATCCTGATGGCTGTTTTCAGAAGCCCATTGGTAAACTGTTGCCATCACATTCATTCTTCAAATTAAGATTAAAATGTCACACCTTTTGCTTTGCCTCCATTTTCTTTTAAGATTAACAACCTTTCAAATAATTGGAATAACAGTAATTGAGGTTTCCAATTATTGTGGAGGGGTGTGGGCAAATTGGAGGAGCTCCTGGAAGGTCTTGCTCTTGGACCTGGCCAGACTGGCTATAAACAGATCCAGACATTGGGTTGAGGAGGGGCACTTATGGCAACTGTCTGTCCCTCTCCCGTGCTCCGTTCATGCCCAGGTGTCCTTGATGAGGAAGCACACAGTATCCATCAAAACGTTCGATGCCTTTAGAGAGAGGTCAGCACCACAGTGCAGGGGGTACAGTGCTTTATGTCCCCTTCCAACTCCACCTTGATTTAGCCCCACACCCCCTTTCCCTACCTGTCCCTCAACTTTGATGCTTTACTTTGCCCTTACTGGGTTTTGCACAAATGAGTGATTTACTGGTTAATAGATGAAAAAAAAATACAGATGATTTGGTGAAGAAAAAGTTACTCAGTTGTGTGTAAGAGGACTTCTGGACATAAAAGGTAGAGAAGATGTTCTTGAGATACATTACTAAATTGCTGAAGTACATGTAGCACAGGTACACTCTGGACTTTGGCCCACTAACGAAGAATAGCCAGCATTATCTGTCAGGTCAATATGTAACTTGGAGAGGAATTTGCAGATACTGATACTCACCATCTACTGCCCTTGTTCTTCTACAAAGTTAATTGTAGAAGTCCTCGGACATCACTGCATGAATTTCTAAGGATAGTGTCCTACACCCAAGCAAATTTGAAAGTTTTGTCAATGACCTCGCTTCCAATGAAGAGTCAGATTTGGAGATGTTCACTGATGATTGAACAGTGTTGAGTAACATTCATAACTCTTCGGCTACTGAAATAGCATGCAGAAGGACCTTGACAGCAACAGGTTCTTCAGCCCACCAAGCCTGTGCTGACATGTGATGCCTTTCTAAAATAAAAGCCTTTTGCCTCTATATGGTCCGTATCCCTATATTCCCTGCCTACTCATGTATCTGTCAAGATGCCTCTTAACTGTTGCTACTGTACCTGCCTCCACCACCTCCTCCAGCAGTGCATACCAGGCACATACCAGTCTCTGTGTAAAAAAAATTGCCTCTCATGTCTCCTTTAAATTTTCTCCCTTTTACCTTACACGTATGTTCCCTAGTAATTGACATTTCTACCCTGGAAAAAAGAGATCTAAGTGGTAGAGATCACACGCTTCAAAAATGTGTCAAAGGAGCTTTGCAGATTTGCTACAGTGCATTTCGTAGATGGTAAACACTTCTGTTACTGTGCCCTGGTAGTGGAGGGAGTGTATATTTAGGGTGATCGATGAGGTGCTGATCAAGTGGACAGCTCAGTCCTGGATAGTGTAGAAGCTCCTGAGTGTTGTTAAGCTGCACGCATCCAGGCAAGATGGGTTCCATGTTTTCAAAGGTCCGCAGGTTGAGACTCAGTCTGTTTGGTAACATGAAGATATATAATTGTGACCCTGAGCAGCTGTCATCCTTCAGGTGAGGGATAGTTGATGGTGATGATTTCATCACACTCAATATTTATGTGGCTGATCCACTTAAGTTTCTGGTTAAATAAAAATGTACAGCATTTGATGTTATTGGTGAGGTATTCAGCAACGATAACGTTGATGAATGTGAAGGGGTGATAGGTAGAAATTCTTTTGCTGGGAGTGGTCACTGCTTGGCACTTGTGCAGTGCTAATATTGTTTGCCAGTTAACAACCCAGGCCTGAATGCTGTTAAGGTCCTTCTGCATGCTATTGCAGTACCCGAAGAGTTATGAATGTTACTCAACACTGTTCAATCATCAGTGAACATCTCCAAATCTAACCCTTCATTGGAAGCGAGGTCATTGACAAAACTTTCAAATTTGCTTGGGTGTAGGACACTATCCTTAGAAATTCATGCAGTGATGTCTGAGGACTTCTACAATTAACTTTCAAAAAACAGAATCATTTTCTTTTGTGCTTGGTATAAGTTCAATCAATGGAGAATTTCCCCTGATTCCCATTGACTTCAGTTTTTCTAGGTTCCTAGATGCCACACTTACTCAAATGATGCCTTGACATTGTGGGCAGTGACACTCACATTACGTCTGGAATTCAGCTGTTTTGTCTATGTTTGGCTCAAGGCTGTTAAGATGTCTCAAGCCAGGTAGTCATACAGTCATAGAGCATGGAAACAGACCCTTCGATCCAACCAGTCCAAGCTGACCATGTTCCCAAAGCAAACTTGTCCACTTGTCTGTATTTGGCCCATGTCCCTCCAAACCTTTCCTGTTCATGTACTTATCCAAATGTCTTTTAAATATTGTAACTGTACCTGCATCTGCCACATCATCTGACAGTCCATTCCATACATGAACCACTCTCTATGTAAAAAAATATTGCCCCACACGTCCTTTTTAAACCTTTCT